GCGCCCCCGGCCGCGACACGAGGTTCTCATGGAGCGTGTCTGGCGGCGGGGCCGGCCGGTCGCACCGCGCCTGCATACCTACCTGCATTGACAACCGGTCGTGACCCGGGGACTCGCTGATCGGTGACAGAGACCGCAGACCTGGCGAGCACGTTCGAACCGCGCGGCTCGGTACGGTTCAGTTCAGCACGGCGTGCTTTGGCTCGTCTCGATTCGGGTCCACTTGGTAGGCTTGGTACGTATACGATTCTGTTCGACCTGGGATGATCGGGCGTTACGCGAAGACCGCCGGTGCGGCCGAACCCGATGCATCATCGGTCTGTCCGGCGCGCCGCGCGGCGTCCCGCGGCCCTCGGCTGTTTGGGGCGCGGCGGTGGGTCGGGTATCCCGATCGCAGAACGGCAGGTGGGCGGGAGGACGCCCCGGACTCGGCAGGAAAGAGGGCGCTCCGAGGAGCAGACCACTTCCTGCGCATCACCTGTCCTCGGCCCTCCGCCCCGCGCGCCGCCCCGTCCCGTTCTGTCCGGCCCGTTCCGCCCCCTTCCGCCACCTCCTGGTGCCGTGGGAGGCTGCCGGTCTCCACACCCGCGGTCCTCGGATGCCCTCCATAGCGCCCCGGTGCCCTCTGCCCCCGTCATGGCCCCGTCCGCCTTTCGCCGCTGTGGGCCACCTCAGAAGCGACCCGAGATGGCGGGTGGCTGGCCCGAATCTCGGTCGCCGTGGGCCCGGGCGCGCGCTGCGGGTTTTAACGGCGCGCCCTGGTCCGCGAGCGGTGCGCCCGCGCCGCCGCCGGCGCCGCTGCCGGTGGTCTGCGGCGGCGGCGATGACGCGCTAACGGCGCCGATGATGGCGGCGATGGCGTGCCTGTTGGGTCGTGTCAGGCCGGTCACACGGCCTGGTGCCGGCGCACCACCGCACCACCACACCGCCGTCACCACGGCCGCGGAGCCTCCGTCGGCCGCACATTAGTGGATTAGCGGCCCGCGCCGCGACGGAAGCGGCCGCGGACTCAAAGGCGGCTCTCAAATGACGCTCAAACTCGGCTCAAAGGACCGCCGAGCCGGCCACCGTGGGCTGCTAATTTGAATACCCTCCCCGAGGATCAACTTTCCCGTAGGTGACACCTCTGGGCTAATCCGGGGCGCTATTTGCGGTATTCGGGCGGCGTGTTGGGGCGCTGCCGGAAGTGCCGGGGACGTGGGAGGCGCCCGGGGCCGGCCGGCGCCGGGTCTAGGCCGGGGCGGCGCCCCCTGGGCCGAGCGTGCCGCGCCGCCCGCCCCTGCGGCCTATCAATGCGGGCCCGGCGCACGATCGGGAGCTGGGAGCCGCCGGCGCACCGGGCAGCTGTTTACCGGCCTCGCCGCGCCGTGCCGTGTCTGCATTGGTCAGAACGCGGCCAATCAGCCGGACAGAGAGCGGAGCAGGCAACATACTGCCGGCCGCAGAGAGCAGGGCATACCGCCTCAGAGAGCTGGGGTGTCCGCCGACCACTGCATGATCATCGGGCGTGTCGGCGGCCTCAGCGCGCTCGTGAGATGGCCGCTCGGAGCGGGCCGGCGGATCTCCCGGCCGTGAGATGACCGAGCAGGCCGGCGGGGCTGCAGCCCGCTCGCTGGATGGGCCGACATTCCGCCGCGCCCGGGGCCGGCGCGGCAGCTGCCAGTGCCTCTCGGGCGGCTCTGTCTCAATGCTGCTCTACAGCTGGCGTTTGCCGCGCAGACAATGAGATGACACGGTCAGTCGGCCAGCGGGCCACGGCCCAGTGCCGATCTCGGCTCGCCGTGCGCCATCTGATGCGCGGCCTGGACGGGCCGCCACGGGCCGGTGGACGCGCGTGCGGCGGGCGCGGCGGCTTCTGCAGCTCGTCGGGGTGGTCACCGGCTCCCAGCGGCGTCACCAGACCGACCGGCCGGCGCCAGGGCACTCTGCCGACCGTCCAATCCTGCCGGCCATCGAACGGCAGCGCTGCCCGCACGGGAATGGACTTGCCAGTCTGCAGCGACCGCCAGAATGGGTTCGAACGGATCCTATCATGTTTGGCTGACTTAAATTAGCGGTGATTCGGTGTGTGGTGTATTTATCATGCTCGGAATGCACACTGACTGAGTGCAGCTCAGGGAATGCAGTATGGAGGTATGTGGAGCGGAGCAGCTCACAGTGTGTTCCCGGCAGCGGTCGTACTGGCTCCACCACCCGCTGCCGCCGGGGCGCCCATACCCGGCCGGGCTGGTATCGGTGTTTGTCGGGGCCGGCGAGGGTCGTGATCGGAGATCTCGGCACCCCGTCGGCCGCGCCGTCCCGTCCCATTCGGGCCCGCCGCACGCCCGGTGACACTCAAATATGTGTCAGTTGGGCCCATTTGCATATGCCGGCCGGCCGGCCGGGCGGGGCGCGTCCGTCCGTTTTCTCCTCGGCGCGCCGCCGGCCATGCGTGCCTGCGTGGCCGTTCAGAGCTGGCGCAGCCGCCAGGTGCCAGATGGATCCTGTCGAATGGGCCAGGGACGGCACACGATCGCGTTATTCACGCGCCTCTCCCGGACACTCTGGAAATGGGCACTCGCATTCGTCGAGAAGCGGCATAACTTATCACTTTGGCAGGGAGAAACGTCACAGTGCCAGATGTGTTTGTTTTTGCTGAAGCTGTTTTTGGTCAAACTGAATTCCAAATGTTTGCGAAATATGCGGTGAGTTTTTGTGTCGTGTTCTTTGCGCGCCGTCCTGTCGGCCGGGGCCGCGCCCACACCGCCCACGGTCGGTCGGTCTCGGCTGTCTCTGCCTGGAACCCACCGACTCTGACTCTACCTCCGACTCTTCGTCTCGTCCGACTCTGCCTCCGCCTTCCGTGGGCTCAGAGAGCGATGAAGGCCTTGGACTCCGCCGGCTCTGCGATTGAGTCCATGGACTCTGGGTTCCTCTGAGCGCGCGATGGACGGCGGGTCGGCGGTGTGGGGTCAGCGGGCGATTTCTCGCCGGTGGTTTACGGCGCGCTGAGAGGTGACGAGGAGGAGCGGCCGGGCCGGCTCGCCGGGCGCAGCTCCGCCAGGAATGCGGCCTCTCAATGCGGCCGCTCTATACCGCCCCTGAATTGTTGACTTTCCACCTCATCCCTCACGCGTTTTTGTCGGCAACGGTCGACCGTAACTCTCCCCCGTTCATTATTTTCCATTGTTGTTGGGCGCATCGGTTAATTCATAAATTCATGCGGCCGGGAGTTCCGCAATTAGGCTGGGCTGCCCTCGTGCGTCACGCTCGCTCTCCTCCCACTCTTGGCGGCTCAGTGGCCCTCTCAGCGCGGCCAGCGTTGCATCATGAGCATCTCGCGTGCGCAAATGCCGGCTTAACCCTGTCAGCGGCGCGCACGTGAGTGTGGCCTACCCTCCGACCGGCGCGCGGTGCGGATCGTACCGCGCGCTCCGCCGAGGCCATGACCGGCGGCGACTGATCCGGATCGCCCGGACCGCAGGTGCACGCGCTGGGCCGCGCTGGGCTGGGTTTGCGGTCCACAGCTGCTCGCTGGTCGGTGTCGGTTTGTCCGACCGGGAGACTCGTCCGGGTCCGTGGTCATCAGCGGCCATGGCTCACGCGTAAAAACTCGCCGCCGCCGCCCGCGGGCGCGCGCGATTATCATTTTTTTTTACCGGTGCCGTGCGCCGGCTGGTGGCTGACCGTGAGGGGCGGGCGCCGCGCGCGGCCTCTAGGTGTCGATAGGCGCGGTCTCCCGTGGTTAGGGTTTATTTATGGTGGCGTTTTTTGACGCTCGGACGGGCGGCTGGGATGCGTTGTGTGGAGAGCGGTCGGGCCCGCCGCTGAGCGGACCCGGTACGGCTGCCGACACTCGTCACCCGCCCGCCGCTCAGCTGCTCCGCTGACTGGCTGTCGTGCCGCCGCCGCCGATCTGAGTTCACCCAGTCCCGGAGTACGGACACGTGGGACCGGGCGGCGCCGGCCGTTCCCACAGCGCGTGGCCGCAAACCGAGTATACGGTGCAGTCCGCACGGCAGCGGTATGCTCATTATATCGAGATGCCTGCCCGCTCCCGGCCCGATCGGGGAAAAGGCGCGAATACCAGCAGTCTTTTATCGCACAGCCATCTGGCTAACCCGTCTGACTGCCGGCCGGGCGCTGAGGGAACGTGTTGGGTCCTGCTCAGACCTCGCTGTCAGTGCGCCCCCTCACCAGCTGATAGAGATCGACCGGAGGTCCCCCTCTCTCCCACACCTGTGCGCGGCACCTGTCCGTCGTTAACCCGTCTGCGGCGGTCGTTTGCGCAGATGAGCGTGCAGCGCGCGCCTGGCCTCCAATGCCGTGTTGCCTCACGTCGTTCACGGCCCGGCTGCCCGTCACGTGGACGTTCTTTGTTGTGCGCCGTGACCTCCGGCAGCCGCGCCGGTGCCAGCCGCCGCTCGCCGGCCGCTCGCCGGGCGCCCTGACTCACACCCTGCCAGCGCGCCCGGCCGGCGGAATAATTTGTACTAACCATGGGATTCTCCCGCGGTCCCTGACCTGTACTTCGTTACGATGTCGCTAACGGAGGCGCTCTCCCATACCCAATTGAGCTGAGCCGGTGCAGTGCTGGTCGGGTCATACAGTGCGACTTTGTGTATGACGTGTGTGTGTCGGTGTCAGTGTGTTTTACGGTGTCTAATTGTCCCGAGTGCTGGCGGTGTTCCCCACAGTTCCGGTCGGTCGCCTGGGTGCGGTACCAGTCCCGGTCCATCCGCCATGTAACGCTGACGGTATCTGTGCTCCGACCTGCCCCGTGGGCGGCTGTCACGCCAGTCGGCCATCGCGGCTAATCGGGCGGCCGACGGGCGCTCCGCCGTCGGTACCGATGATTTATGGCTGCCGGCGCGGCCCCGTGACCCGGCGGCTAATCCTGCCGACCCGGCGTGCCGGCTGCCGTCGCGCCGGCCGCTCATTTGAATGCGCTAATGACCGACGGCGGCCGGCGATGCGGCGATAGTGTCTGACCCAGATCGTCTCTGTGTGTGTTGCAGCAGCAGCAGCGGCGGCGGCGGACGGGTGCGCTCGCCTCCGGTCGGCGCGCCGCGCTCCGACCTGGCGCTGGCCTGCTCCCAGTCGACACCGTCGCTGGCGCAGCATGCGCTGACTCCCGGCGTCGGCATGGTGTACAACTACGCGGCGGACGCGGCGCCGGCCGGCTGGGACGAGGAGCGCGAGCGGCAGGCGTACGCCGCCCACCTGCGCTCCTCCTCGTACCAGCTGCACTCTCGGCAGCGCTCGGCGCTCACCGGCGGCTCGTCAGAGGCGGCGCTGCACGCGCGCCAGCCGTCCGGCCACTCGGCGCACTCGGGGGACGACGACACACACTCGCACGCCTCCTTCCACTCGACCCACTCGCTGTACGGCAAGGAGGCGGCCCGCGCCGCCGCCGTCAGTGCCGGGGTCGGGATCGGCGTGCCGGCCTACCCGACGGACGGCCGGCGGGCGTCGCACGACGCGCTGCCCATCGAGCCGCCCCCGCCGCCGCCCCCACCCCCGCCGATGTCAGACGCTGCCTCGGACGTCACCAGCCTGCACGACGGCGAGTCGCTGACGTACGACCTGGACGACATCGACCGGGCGCTGGCCTCGGACGTCCCCGAGCGGGACCCGGCCAGTCTGACGCACATCCGGTACGGACCTGGCCACGAAAAGTACCCGTCGTGGCCGGTGCCGGCGGCCGCCGAGCCCGAGTCGGGCCCCCTCTCCGGCGGCAGCTTCCGCTCCAAGTCGTGGACGGACAACAGCGAGCTGCCCAAGGACCGCGCGCCGGCCGGCGGCTACACCCGGCCGCACGCCAAAAAGTCTTTCAGCGCCACGTTTCAGCAGCAGCTGAACACGGTCATGGAGAAGTGTGAGCGGATAGGACCCGAGTCGTTCCTGGCGCCCGCCGAGCGCGAGAGCCGGGTCGTCGAGCGCGACAAGTCCGAGTCGCCGCGCGACGACAAGTTCCCCGTCATCGACCGGGACGGCCGCGGCCCGGGCGACAAGGACTACAACATCCCCAGCCCGCCGGAGCGTGACTATGACGACAAGTTCTGCCGGCCGGAGCCGACCTTCTCGGAGGAGCTTGGCGGCCCGCGCGGCCTGTCCACGCCCTTTCTGGACCAGCTGCGGCGCGACATCGTCATGTCGCCCGTGGAGGACGGAGACGGCGGAGAGGGAGCCGAACAGTCGTGGAGCGGCGAGCGTACCGAGGCCGAGAGCCAGCCGCGCTCGGGCCGCGACAGCGTGGCCACCGTAGTCACCTACAGCAGCAGCAACAGCTCCAACGAGCCGATGCGGCTGTACGGCTCGTTCAGCGACATCAGCGTGGTGAGCTCAGCCACCAGCCGCTCGGACCCGCACCCGGACCACCAGATCGCGCACAGCTCGCGCGTCAAGCCGCCGCAGCGGCTGCTCTCCGAGAACGTAACGACCGCGCCGCCGCCCGTCCGGCACCGGCCAGAGTTCAAACTGGCCAAGAGCGTGGACGAGACGCTGATCACTGGACGGGAGTCGGACGCGCCCGACGGCGGCAGGGACTCGCGGGACAGCCTGGGCGCGCGGGACAGCCGCGAGCGCAACTCGCCCAAGTCGTCCCGCTCGCCGGCCATCGACTACAGCAAGCCGCCGTCGGTCACCGACCGGATCAAGGCGCTGGAATCGCAGTCGCGCGAGTCGCGCCGCGACCTGCACTCCAAGTCGGTGCCCAACCTGCTGGCCGACAAGTGGTCGTGGCGCGGCGCCGGCCGGCTCGACGCCGACGCGTCGCTGCCGACGGCCGACGAGGGCCGCGGCGGCGCCACGCGCAGCGGCCGCAGCCTGGACCAGACGCCGTCGGACCGGGCGCGACCGGCCGACGCGCGGACCCGCGGCACCGACCGCCGCCCGCCGGCCCGGTCCGTCAGCTCCGACCGGTGCCGCGCCGCCCTGCCGGCCGAGACGGAGCGGCGGCGCTCCTCGCAGCCGGGGCCGCAGAAACCCCAACACCTGTCCCAGCTGTCCCAGCCGTCCCAGCCGTCCCAGCAGCCGGCCGCACAGAAGTCTTCCCAGCATTCTCAGCAGCAGCCGCAGCAGCACGACTCGTCCACGCTGAAGGCGATCCAGAAGCAGGCGGTGATGTCCTACTACGAACGGCACATGAGCCGTGCAGCCGCGCCGCAGACGCAGGCCGACCCCAAGGTGCCGGAGAAGCACGAGCGTGGCTACCGGGCCGGGCCGACGCTGTGGCGGGTGCCGGAGAGCCTGCAGCCGGACTCTGCGGCTGCGGCGCGGCCGGCGCGCGGCTCGCCGCCCAGCGCCGGACGCAGCCGCGGCCCGTCGCGACGTTCCTCGTCAGCCTCCGACCGAACCACGGCCAGCAGCAGCACCAGCTCCAGCCACAGCTCGGGGCGCAGCTCCAGCTCCAGCACCAGCCACCTGAGCGGGCTCGGCCACAGCCGCGGCTCCAGCCACGGCTCCATCGGCGAGCAGAGCCTCGTGCACGCCAGAAAGGTGAGTTCTCAGCCGGGGAGCGGTCGGGGAGGGTTGGGAGACGTGTCACCGCGGTCCCAGAGGCATACAAAGGCAATTAGCAGCCGGGCGGCCGTTAAAACTGTCGTTTGTCGGGGCCACGTTACGACACTCGCTCACGATCTCCAGCATTCAGGGGCAGAGCGTGGCTCATCGGGCCGTCCGAACCCGTTGCGCCATCTCCGTAAACGTGAAATGAAGACGCCGTCGTCGCCTTCCGCGCCGCCGCTCCCACTAATGAGACCGTGTGTCGAAACGATCTCATCGCGCCCGCACGCCGCGGCTCGCGCGCGCACGTAAACAGCCGGCCGATGGGGTAAAAACGCCGGACGGTGGCCGCTGCGGGGACCACGGGGACGTCTCTATGGTCAGCTCGGTGGCCGGCGGTTCACGTATCTATGGTCAGCTCGGCGGCCGGCGGTTCACGTCTCTATGGTCACCGGCCAGAGGCGCCGTGCATGCAGCTGGCGCGCGCGGCCGCTTCAGATGCTACCCCCGTCCGCTGGAGATTGTATCGCGGCGGGCGCCGCGCGGTAGAACTCTGCCACCGTCGCCGGTCCTGGCCCTGTCGTCAGTGGCCTTTGTGTGGGCCGTTGGCGACCCACATGTGTCGGCGCGGTGGCCTTCGGTCGGCGGGTACTGGCGAACCTGGCCGCCGGCGCCGGTCGCCGTCCCAGTCCCCGCCGGACCGCCGGCGGTTGTCGGGTTTCCGCGATCCGTGGGAGGCGCCGCACTCGCTCGGACGGAGCTGGCCTCCACGGTGCCGGCCTGGGAGCGCGCTCTGCACGTGCGTGCCGCGGCCGCAGCTCCCTTCCGGTGGACTTCGCGGCGACAAATTGACCGCGGGAGGGGCGCTCTGCCGTGTTGGGACAATCAGGAGCGCGCAGGGGGCACTTGGCAATCCACGAGCGGGGTTTCTCCTTTCTAAATAATGGAGCTGCCGCTGCGCCTCCGACCAGAGGTGAGCTGCACAGCGCCGAAAAACAGACGGACGCTTTCTAGCCGGGGATATCTGTATTTGGTCCGGCCTGCTGTATGTTGATTACAGCCGCTGCGAGCAATCAGAGCACTGGGGTCTGCGCGGCCTGGTGCAGTAGCGAGCGGAGAGAAATTTTGAAGTCTGACCGGGAGTCAACCCAACCGAGTGTGACTGACCTGCACCGATTGGCTGCTCACTGAATCTTGCATGGATTCCGACATATTCTGAAACTCTGAGGGTCTCGGTGCCGGTCTCTTCTCTGACCGTGACTCGCAATCGGACTCTGGCGTTGACCGTGACTCGATGGGGAGCTCTCACTCTGACCGTGACTCTGCGGGGGCTGGCTCGCTGGCGCCCCCTCTGGCGATGCGGCGCCGCCTGATTATATCATGGGAACAGGACCGGGCTGAACACGGTGTTTACGCGTCCGTCTGGGAAACTGACGACAACCGGCGGCCGCCGGGTCAGTCCGACTCTGTAGTTTTGCCTCAATTTGGCCCGGTTTGGAAGCAATTCACCCTTATCTCATCAGGGCCAGTTCCGCTCCCAGATAGCTTTAATGGATTTTTCATTAGACGAGCTGGGGCCATATTTCATGTCATGTGACTATATTAGCACCGGTCTCAGTCATAGGAAGGTTCCGCCGCTTCCTGTTTCATTAAAGGACCATTGTCTTTAAATCCCAAACGTAGTTTGAGGCCCAGACTTCCTGGCAAATAGTGGAAACTGCCATTTAAAATTGGATATACCTATGTTGACCTTTCCCAAAGCACTGCATTGCGCTTTAACCCGCGCCGTGCTGGTGGCCTGAACTTTCCGCCGAGTGCTGGGGGGGGGGGGCGTTTTCACGCCCCCCCGTCTAACTCGGCTCCTGGGCCACGTAGCGACACGCGGTAAGCGGCAATCGAAAGAGTGTCAAAAATAAGGACGAAAACACTTCGGTCATTTTTTGGGTCAGGTCAAAGGTCAGGTCACCAGAGGTCACCAAAGGTAAAATGTTGACTATTTCAACATTTTGGAAACTGCCAACGGCTATCTCGGGAACCGATAGAGCTACAGCGCCGCGGAAAAGCGCATTCGATAGCCCTTTTACAGACCTTTCTGAGTAATGTTCTCAGATTTGACCTCAGGCCAACGGTTTAGCCTCCAGAGGGCAAAAACTCCAAAAATAGCCGTTTTTACGAAAAACGTTTTTTCGTCAATAACTTTTGACTCATAAGCGCCATGACATTACTTTTGCCAGCATCGTGTTCCTCTCGTCGAGACGCGTCGAATGAACTATTTGTTGACCTTGAAAGGTCATTTTGAAAATTTGACCTCAGGTCAAGGTCATGACCTGACCGAAAAGGGTCATGTTGCATATCAGTCGATCCCTATCGTCGAGCTGAACACATCTGACGTGTTTTCACCGCTCTAGCACGTCTCTATCAAAAGTTATAGCCAAAAAACTGCTGGCGACCGTTCATGACCTGAGATGACCTCAGGGGCACACAGAGGGGTCACAGGTGCATTTTTCCTATTCAGTGTGTCATGTTTACCTATGAACCGATGTTTGAGAGCGTTTTGAACGATATTCGTCCAAAAGAGGCGCATTTCAATTTTCTCCCATTGACTTATAATGGAGAGGTCGCAAAATTGACCTGACCTTAGGTCACAGATATCAAAAATCCGAGATATACATTTTATACATACTGTTATTCATATCAATCGCTGAAAGTTTCAAAGTGATCGTTCAGTCGGTGTAGCTATAGCGAGCCTTTGAACTTTTTCTGAGGTAAGGTCACTTGACGTGACCTGGTGACCTGACCTTGAACGGCCTAGGTCTGAAATTTTCACAACATGTGCGGAAATGATGTAGGAACACGTGTACCAAAAACGGCGGCGCTGCGCGCCGCCGTTTTTGAGATATTCGCGAAAAACCTGAGGGGGGGGGGCGTAAAAACGCCCCCCCCCAGCACGGCGCGGGTTAAATGCTTCCCTCGCCGTTGGGTGAAAGACTCTTGAATTTGTTACAGGTAAATTAGCATGTTCGCTTTTGTGTCGCTCATATTTAACGACTGAAATTGTTCACACTTTTTTCTAATATTGCACAAAGTGCGCAATTAGCGTTTCCTGGTCGTCTCTGCGCTGTTGTGTGCGTTTCACACGGTGCGGATATCACCGTCAACCGCTGCCTCTAGCCGAACCTCTCACGTCTGCGACCGCAGCTGCGCCGCGCGGTGGGTTTCGTGACGGCTCCGCGCCCGCAGTCACGGTCACGGGCGCGCGCTGCCGCTCTGGCCGTTTATCACTCGTGGGGAGCCGCTCCGACACCACCTAACTGTCCCCAGATGGGCGGCAGCTGCGCGCGCTGCCGCCGCCGCCGGAAGGGCGGCCCAGAGATCAGAGGCCGGCGGGCAGAGACCCTGACCGAGCTGGCGTAGTGTCTCCGTGATGTCACACGCCGTGGGTGTGAAACAGCGGGCGTGGTAATGAATGAGGCGGTGTGGCCGGCCGGCCCAGGAGCTGGCCTGGTGCCAGGGACAGGAGAGCAGTCAATCAGGGGGATTTCCGCGTCCGTGTCCCTGCTGCTCTATTTTTGTGGTAGTGAGGGTCACCCACCGGTGATTAACAAGGCTCCTCCCATCGCGGCATGTATGGTGTCCCAGTCCATCTCTCGATGATTCGAGTTCTGAGTCAGCCCTGTGAGCAGCTCTCGGCGTACACGTCTCACTCGGCTCGGGGTGGCCGTCGGCGCGCCCCCGTAAAAATAGCGCGGACCGGCTGCGGCGTCATCGTCGGGTCCGACGCAGCCGGCGGGCTCAGACCGACGGCGGCGGTCGGCCGGCGCGGCGGCTCCGATGGCGGCGGCGGCGGTCACGCTGGCATCAGTGGTGTACTGGTACTGGCCGGAGCTGGAGGGTGCGCTGGCCCGCTACCGGCCGCGCCTGCCCGCCATGGAGGCGCCCGACCGATGCCGCTGCCGACGCGCGCTGGCCCCTCTGCGCCGCGCCGCCGCCGCCGCCGCCCAGACGCTGCACCTGACCGCCCTGATGGTGCTCCTGGAGAGGTACAGCCGCGCCGCCGCCGCGCTGGTTATCGCCGCCCGCGCCGCCGCTGTCGAGCGCGCGCGACACGTGCTGGATTGGATGCTGGTGGTGAGGACGGCGCTGGTGACGGCGGCCGTCACCGTGAGGACGGCGCTGGTGACGGCAGCCGTCACCGTGAGGACGGCAGCGGCGGCGGTGCTGGCGCGCGGGCAGGCCGGCTGGACGGGCGCTCCGTGGCGTCGCGCCGACCGCCGCCGGACCCGCACCCGCTGCGTGCAGACCGAGGAGGAGCTGATCTACGAATACTGGGAGGGCCCGCCGCTCGTCCACGTACAGGTAGGACGGAGGGAATTCCAGCACGGTCGTGACGCGTCCAACGCCCACCTCGGCTGCTGTTCCTGTTCGTGGGCGCTACCTTTTGCTCTGACGAGTACCGAGCGTTTTGTAAGTGGTCCAAGTGTTTTCAAGTGTTCGAGTGCTCTTGGAGGCACACGGGATGACTGGTACCGGTCTCTGAAGCGTCCCAGTTCTCAGTCCGTCGCTGCCGAGACGCTCGTTCTCTTTTGACAAACGCGCTGCTGACGGCTGCGTCTGGTGTCGAAGTGTCTGTACACGGATTCGGCGGCGGATGAGGCGCGATGACGCGTGAATGCCGCGTTACGCCGCGCCGCGCCGCGTCGAAGCCCGGCGTCTGTGAACTCATCAGACGCCGTAATAAATGACCGCGGTGCGGGTCTGAGCGCGGGGCGGCTGGTCACGCCACACGCGTACCGTCCGGACCGGCCGCCGGCAGCGGGGCCGGCCGCGGCGCGCCGCTGCTCGTACCGCTCTGTTCGTGTCGACACATACCTGCGTCACTGTTCGCCGCAGACGTGCCAGAGACACGTCGCCCGTACGACGGGAACTGATATTGAACGGCGCGCGGCGGCCAAAGCACAGCCTCTGCCGTGTATCGGATAGAGCCGCGCGCTGGG